AAAAAGGATTGTTAGATACATGGTTGGAATCAAATTTGGACGTTGCCGCAGATGTTGGAGGCATAATTTCGAGCAATCTGCATAACAGAAAACAACCATAAGCAAGCCTAAGACTGAGGATTTCGATCAAAAACTCTCCGACGATCAAGTTAGTAAGTTGTTTTAGACTCAATCAGTGGGCAAAAGGAATTAAAGTGTGGAGATTGCGTTACCCAATACAAATCCTAGATGGGTATATTTATACAAACCGGTAGAGAGACCTTTTTAGGATATAATCTTTGTTCTAAGCTGGAAGAATCCTATAGGATATCAAGAAGTAGGTATTACAACCTTTTAGAGTTGTGATTACTTGCGACACACGCAAATTCGTAGATCATAGGAACTCCCAGACTTAAGAATAATCTAATTGAGTTCATATCTGGATCATATCGCATGTCTTGTGGAACAAACATGTTCATACCAATGAAGCCATTCGGACTTCTCTTATTGGCCCGAACAAGGTGATGGTGGAACTGCTACTCCGTCGGATTTAGCTCCACTCGGAGCTGGTGAGTCCATAATTGGATTTATGAGGTAACATTATTAGCCTTACTTCGACCTTAGAAAATCATGATCCCACAATTATTTCTAACTATATATTTGAAAGGCAACTTGTTTCCCTTGAGAATGGATAGTCATTCAAAGACTATGCCGTTCAGAGTAAGTTGGAGTACGTACTATTTAGCCTTCTTTCTTCGTTTGATGATCTAACGCTTAGAGAGTAATGGAGACGCTCCGAATTCAAACGTGTGATCTTGAATATCGTACCATAAAGTTTATGAAACTTTATGTTTGTTGCATGTGCACAAAAAACAAGAAATCACCTCAGATATTCTTGTTGATCTTAATTGTCATACTCGTTAATCCCAAGGTGAGTCGGTTGGCATTCAACAACCAGATCGTTCCATTGTGCGATGTGTATATAATCTTAAATCTCTTCCTTTCATTTTACCAAAATCCTCAAATTACCCAAGGAAAAAATGCTCCAACTTTCCTCACATACCAATTCAAAAATGGGTTTTTATTACAAATGGTCCATGAAATTGGCTCACCCCATCAAGATGGCTACTGAAATTGAAAATCAAATAATGTAATTCTTGAAAATGGATGTTGCAAATCAATGTGATCATTTCGTTACAATTCCATTAAAATTTATGTCTTGTGCTGACGTGACACATAATTGGTCCCACAAGTTTAATTAAATATTACTATATGAATTAAAATGTTTAAATAATAGTTTTTTTAATTAAAAACTCAAAAGAAAAAATGAAAAGAAAAACAAGAAGGTGAACAATTCATCTTCTCCTTCACCTCCCACTAAAGCAACCACCCCAGTCCCCGCCCCACCCTACCCCATCTCGTTGCACATGTAACCGCAGCCAAACAGATGGCCCATCAGATCCAGAAACACGCAGAGGCCACCTAAATTTGGTAAAATACCTCTCCAGGTGATGAAAAAAAAAAGGTCTCCAGGTCAAAAAAATTATGTAGAACACATTTATAATATGTAACATTCTAATCCACGTACTTAATCATTAAATAGTTACCCCCTAATTATTCTCCCTATGCCTGCTAATTCACCTAGAAGACCAATTTCTCCTTCTCTTCTCTTCTTTCAGGGAACCCAGATTTCAATTTTCCAAATTTAGTTTGAAATTTGGAATCAAATTCCCAAAAAACATGAACGAAAATCCTAATCGACAAGACCGCAACCGCCGCCCAAAAAGCCGTCCATTTTTCTGTACGCGAAGGCGTTGTCGAGCTTGCTCGGCAAATGGAGGCCGCGTGTCTTCAACCCATCAACGTCATCAAGACTCAATTCCAGCTCGACCAAACTAGCACCTACAAAGGAATTGTCCAATGCAGTTTCACATGCAATGGGGTGGGGTGGGTTGTCGAGGTTGCTCAGGTGGGAGAAGAAGAAGATGATGAACAGTTCATCTTCTTCTTATTTTTTAAGTTTTTAATTCTATAAAACTAAAATTTTTTTTATTCTTATAAACATTTTTAATCACATGGTAATATTTAATTAGACTTGTGGGACTCATTTATGTGCCACATCAACACATAATAGAAATTTTAACAGAATTCTAACGAAAGTACCACATTGATTTGTAACATCTATTTTCAGGAACTATATTAATTGATTTTCAATTTTAGGAACCATATTGATGGAGTAGGTCAATTTTAGGGACTATTTGTGATTAAAACCCTTCAAAAATTCCCCAAATCCTTTCATTTTCCATCAATGGCATCTTCAAGCAAAACCTCTAAATCGTCCAAAGTTTCGCCTTATAACCTTCTGCTAATAAGGGTTCGCAGCCGAGAAGAAGTTCAGGTTTTTGTCAAGGGCCATTGGGATGTCCAAGGTCAGTGTAGGGTTTGGTGGGAATCAAGCTAGACATCTATACTAAAATTCTCGCATCATTTGTCCCATAGCGTCCATGCACCAGGATCTATCTTTGGTTTTTGGATTTAGGCTTGCGCTTTCCTCTCCCATATTTCCTAAAGAGTATCTTGATATGCTACGACATGGCCATCTGTGAGGTTCTTCGACGGTCAAGTTAGTGAACAGATTTATGCTCCGACATGGCCATCTGTATATTTTTTGCATAATAGGGTTATTAGGATATGGATGAAACCGACCCACAATTGTTACAATTCATCAATAACATTTTCAAGGGGCACTTTTGGGAGTGGAAGTATGACGTTGAGTGAGATGCAAAACTATAGCGAAATACTGAAAGAATAGCGGAGTAAAAGTGTTATTATTGTGTTTTTCAATAGTTATGGATGGTTATAATTTTTTTAGGTAAATGTTTTGTGGACGGTATTTTAAATATTTGTTTAATTTGCATTTGGATTCAAATTTGCATTTAATTGTTTATTTGGTTAATATACTTTGGTTTAAGTTTTTATTTGAATAAACTTTAAAGGAATACAAATTAATATTTAATAATAATTAAAAACTTGTGCGACGATTCGTCGTCACAAAACGTTTATAAGGACAAAATTCGTGCGAGGAATGTGGTAATCGTTGCGCAAGATTCCAAAGAGAAAAACTTTGCGCAACGAATCCTTCGCCGAGCAAAGATCGTCGTCTTTATAAACAGATTGCTCAACTAAAAAGGCAGAAACTGTAGAAATTTACAATAGTAGCCTCTGCACCCTTCTCTCCCATCGCCTTCCTTCAATCCGGTGTCCCTCCCTCATTTTCTCTTAATTTCATATTTCATCCTCTAATACTCCCTCCATCTCAATCTCCATATTCTCTTCATACATCAATCGATTCCGATGTATTAGGTAGACGATTTGATTTTGTATTTAAAAGTATCATTGTCAATTCATATTAACACCATTAATTTTGTTGTCTATAGGGCTGTTGTATACGAGCAATGACTAAAATATCGATAATATTGGCGAAATATCGCCGATATTATCGTTTTTCAAAGAGATCGATATTTTCTCACGTATCCCCCTAATTGTCGTCAAAATATCACGATATTATCGATAATATCGCGATATATTCGATATTATCGAAACAATCGTCGTGGCTCCGTCGTCGGAAAGGCAGCCGAGGCTGCGTTGTTGCAGCTGCCCAGATCTCTCTCTGCAATCCAAGTTCGAGGGATTAGGGAAAGGGAAACACGGGGAAGTGGGGGGTGTGTGTGTCTGTCTACTTTGGGAATGAAAGTTGCAAAGAAGAGATGGGGGGAGAAGAATAAGAAAAGTTTGAAAAGTCAGAAGAAGAAGAAAAGTGAAATGATGAAAAAGAAGATGGAGTGGAGGGGGGGAGAAGAAGAAAAAAAGTGAAAAGATAAAAGAGAAAAGTTTGAAAAGATGAAGAAGAAGATATAGAAGGAGAAAAGTCTGAAAAGATGAAAAAATGTGAACGGCAGCTATATTCGATATTATCGAAACAATCGTCGTGGCTCCGTCGTTGGAAAGGAAGCTGAGGCTGTGTTGTCGCAGCTGCCCAGATCTCTCTCTGTAATCCAGGTTCGAGGGGTTGGGGAAGGGGGAAACACGGGGAAGTGGGGGGTGTGTGTGTCTGTCTACTTTGGGAATGAGAGTTGCAAAGAAGAGATGGGGGGGGAGAAGAAGAAGAAAAGTTTGAAAAGTTTGAAAAGTCAGAAGAAAAAGAAAAGTGAAATGATGAAGAAGAAGATGGAGTGGAGGGGGGAGAAGAAGAAGAAAAGTGAAAAGATAAAAGAGAAAAGTTTGAAAAGATGAAGAAGAAGATGTAGAAGGAGAAAAGTCCGAAAAGATGAAAAGATGTGAACGGCAGCAGGGCACTTGGGAAAGTGAAAAAGTCTCTGAAAAGATGCTTTGTTTGGCGTGGTGAAGTGTACCAGCCTCTGCCTTATCACAAAATGAAGGGGTAAACAATAATTACCCACTATCCCCTAATAAATAAATTATATAAATTATTTAGATAATATTTTATTATTTGTTTTTTTTTAAACAACACCATATTACACTCTTGTATTATATTATTTTTCTTTTTATGATCAGAATAAGATAATCTTATATTATACTCTTATGTAGTATTAAGTCACTCATGTATCTTACCATGCAATGTATAAAGTGTAAAATATTGTACTAATTCATTATATATAAATGATTATGGTGTGTTTAAACTTTTTTCATTAATTACTACATATTTTCTACACTCATAATGTTTGCCAGCTTGCTATATAATCAACTTAAATCAGTTAAATCTATCATGCAATGAATTTCCTTCCAATTTTTTGTGATAAACTAATAGATAATTGACTAAATAAACATCCTGCAAAGTTTCAATAAAAATTTCCAAGTTTTTCTTACAATTTCCGTGGTTTTTATTCAATTTTTATCGATATCGATAATATCCCGATATTTTCATCAAAATTTCCGTGTTTTTAGACTACCGATATTTTATACTTTGTATACGAGTAGGGATTGGTGGGGAAAGATTTTGGAGGTATTATTTTTATTTTTTCTAATAACATAAATAAATTAAATTATATGTATATTATGTTGTCATTTTTAATTTATTTGTATGGAGATTGGGCCGGCATCAGTTTTATTACAAAAAGAAGGAAACTTGACTCGACTGCTGAGAAGGGGGATACAATTGTCCCACACCGGCCACAGCTCTGGTTATTAGTCATTTACATAAAGAAACTGCGCAACGAGAATTGTCCCTTCGGGACCTCCGTTCAATTTTTTTCCATGAAATTGAATGGATTTTGAAGCATTTTCCTTCTGTTTTTTTTTTTTTTTTTCCCACCCAGTTTGGGTCAATTGGAATGCAGATTGAGGATCTTTTGGTGTTGGGAAGTATTTCACGCTTTGATGGGTCCGTCTCACTGTCTGACTGTCTGAATTTTCATATTCCAGGTTTGCCTACTAACTGTTTGATAAAATGACTTTGTTACTGTGGCCCTTAAAAGGTTGTTAAGCTTAAGCATATAGTTTTCTATGATCTCTGGACGATCCCTATATATATATATATATATGTTGTGTTTATATGTGTGCGGGCGTGCGCACATTGTATTTGTATACCAGTTTCACTTGGTTGAAGCTCTTGAAAGACTCCATTTGGGTTTTGCTTGTTTTAGTTCAATAACAAATCCAAGATATGTTTCTTTTAGTTAGTTTACATAACGTGGGTGTTAAAGTTTTGAACTTTCATTTTGGTTGTTCGAGGCATTTGTAAATCACAGTCGTAGTCATTTACGATAGAAAATTTCTCCAAAGAAGATAATGTCTGCATTGCGATTGCAGGTAATGTATGTCGTATACGAATCTCATTGAGTTTCTAGTTCCAGATTTGCAAGTACATAGTTGGGAATACAAATGAATGTATTTCTCAAATCTCTAGTAAGTTGAGGTAGTTGATTATATTTTACAATATTTTTCAACTCTCTCACACTTCTTTTTTTTCTTTTAGCTAAGACACCATAGATTTGATTGCTAGATCGATTCCTAGCCATAGATTTGATTCCAGCGTATTGAGTTTCACCTTTATTTCTACTAAGCAGGGTTTTCTCTTAGTCAAAAATCAAGTGTCATCATAGTATTGTGGAACCTAATGGGTTAAGGTATAGTACCTATAGTAGACATATTTTAAAGAAATTAATCTCGACGAACAATTTCTCTTCAGTTTTCATTAATGCGCATCTATATGGAATAAAACAGAAATCTGGTAAGCAGTGCTGTTGTTTTGTTCTGTTTCTCTTCAGTGATTCCTCTACTTATTTGGTAAATGCTTAATCGAAGTACTTGTAGTTACGACTCGTTTGGTAATGCTTCTGTTTCGTGTAAACACAAAACATTTACTTTAGAATCTCCCAGAAAACACTTTGATATATATTATATATATATATATATATATATATATATATTTAACCAGACATTACTTAATTTTCCACAATACATGATCATCTCTGTAATTCTTGATACTACAGTTATATAAACTCACCAATAACTTTGGCAGGATTTATTAGAAATGGTTTCGGTAGATTGTCCACATTCCGTACCTAACACTTCCCCTCATATCCATTCATGAAATGATCACAGACCAGATCATTTCATTTTTTTAAGCTACTGTCACGGATAGCCTGAAACTTGGGAATAAGTTTGTCTTTAGACGGCCAATTATCTTTGATGATAGGAACATCTGCAAAAGTCGCCGCCCATGCTGATAACAATGGAAACTCTTCTTTGGTTACCACTTTCATTCCTACTATGTCTTCAAACAAACTCTCGTAGTATGCAAGCCATCCAAGTGCAATATCCACAATTCCAATTTTCTCTCCGCCAAAGAATTTCTTTCCCTTTAGCTCTTCTTCCAAGTACTTCAAGTTCTCCTTGGCTTTTACAATACCTTCCTCTTGCTCTTTCCCTTCCTTGGTAAAGGATTCCCAAATAGATGGCGAAACCTTCATAAAAAATCACAAACCAAACCGAATAATCAAATATCGAAACTAAATTATGATATGAACTACAATTTTCTTTTAATTTGCTTCAGGCATGAGCAAGTTATAAAATATCGATGATATCGGAAATATCGGTAGTCCAAAAACACGGAAATTTCGATGGAAATATCGGAATATTATCGATATCGATAAAAATTGAATAAAAACCACGGAAATTGTAAGAAAAACTTGGAAATTTTTATTGAAATTTTTGCATGATGTTTATTTAGTCAATTATCTATTAGTTTATCACAAAAAATTGGAAGGAAATGCATTGCATGATAGATATAACTGATTTAAGTTGATTATTAGCGAGCTGGCAAACATTGTGAGTGTAGAAAATATATAGTAATTAATGAAAGAAGTTTAAACACACCATAATCATTTATATATAATGAATTAGTACAATATTTTACACTTTATACATTGCATGGTAAGATACATGAGTGACTTAGCAAGGTCTAAAATATCGATGATATCAGAAATATCGGTAGTCCAAAAACACGGAAATTTCGATAGAAATATCGGGATATTATGGATATTTTAGACCATGGGCATGAGCAAGTAGAGTAAGGTCATATACATAATACACCACTGAACGAAAAATGCAGCCAAATATCTGCAATTTACTGCGGAAATTTGCAAACTGATCCGACAGCGCATTTTCTTATTATTTCAGGTAAATAATGATGGTTCAGTTCAGTTATCTGATGCACTTTCACTCGATGTGTATACTTTTTGTGCAAGAAACTATCTGATTATGAAAGGCTAGTTCAGATTACCGTCTCATCGCAATATCTGGCCCAAAAGCGTGCAGTGGCTCGCTCAAGAGGATCTTCCGGCAGTAAGGGATTCTCCTTCCATGTTTCGTCGACATATTCAAGAATTATGAGTGACTCAACAACTGCATTTCCATTGTGCAGGAGCACTGGAATTTTCTTATGAATAGGGTTAGACTGAAGAAGTAAAGGGCTTTTGTTCGAAAGATCTTCGTAGATTGCTTCGTAAGGGATGCCTTTAAGTTGCAGCGCCCAAACGATTCTCAGGCCGAAAGGGCTTGACCATGACCTAAGGAGTTTCACTTCTGCCATTTTTGCTGGTAGTTTGAGCTATCTTCTGCTAGGCAGGCCTTTTATGCTTAATTTTCAGTGTGGAATTTCGCATGGTCTCCCTAGACTTCATTGTATTTATTATTGAAGCCTTCTATTTTGTAAAATTTGAATTGCTTCCCTGTATCTGATACATATCACTCGTTGCCATGTAATTTTACATGGTTTTTCATTTTTAATTAATTTTCTTAGTTTAATGCTTAGAAATGATAAGACATGCTATTTCTGTGTCTATGACACAATCTTTATTTTAGTTATTGAATTAAATAAATCAGACGGAAACAAAGACAGACAAACAATACGGTTGCGTAGGGGGAGAGAAAAGTGGAATTTGGAAAAATACGAGGGAGAAAAGGTAGACGGTTTTTGTGTGAAATTAAATGATGATTGGGTTCTGTGATGTAAGCTGTGATGTAACCAAAGGAGAGAAGGTTCTGTTGGTTTTCTTCCAAGTTTGGGCTTTTGTTTTGGTCCAAGGTGCCGGCTGTGTAAAGGTTACGAGATTCTACCGTGAAGTGGGACCCGTGTGTCAAAGTGTATATTATTATTAAGAAGAGGTGAACGTGAACGGTTAGAAATTATTTCAATAATTTAGAAAATGAGAATTTTCATGTAAATTAACATTTTATCAATTAGAATATTAAACCACATGTAAAAATTGGTCACAATTACACTTATAAAAATGATTTTCTAACACTCTTATTATCTTCTCACATACTCTTTTTTATTTCTAGTTATCAAATTAAATAAATAAAACAAAATTAACGCGCATTGTTAAACAAAACTACACGAGAGACTGAAAACATGTGTGTGTTAGTTTATCGTTTCTCACACACTTTTTATTTAGTTCAGAGTCACTTTTGACATCAGTGGTGGGGGTGGATGGTGCAGTCGACGTGATCGGTGTGGTTGGTGTGGCTTCTGTGGCTGATGAGGCTGGTGCGGATGGTGCTGCATCTACTCTGGTTGCAGATACATCTACCGTTGAATGTTGAGAAGTAGGTGGAAAAGGTGAGCCAAAAGGCCCTGATGCTGAAGCTGGTGGAAATGGAAAAGGTGACCCAGGAGAAAATCCAGCATTGTTGAACTGGCTATCTTGTGGATTCATTTGACCCATCAAAGTCTTAAAAGCCTGTTGCATTGCCTAGTTCTGAAAGAATATGGTTTATTGATCTAACTGTCTGAAGTTTAAAATTGGAATTTACACACCAAAGATATGAATCAAAGCTACATCACTTGTGAGAGTAATTACTAACTGTACTCTATTAGATTGAAAAACTTAAAAGAATACGTGCGGATAACAAGCTTTCCCTAACCCAGAACGAAAATTGGATCACAAATCTTATTTGCCTAATACTTGGTACGACAACTTGACTTTTGCAGCACAACACCTTAACTCAACAAACATAACAGATGTCATATGAAATCCCCTGCTAAACTGGATATATACCGTTGAAATTTCAAAGGATATTTATTATCTTACTTGAAAATGGTTTGAGTCTAACAAAGAGTATCTTGATATGCTACGACATGGCCATCTGTGAGGTTTTTCGACAGTCAAGTTAGTGAACAATTTTAGACTCAAGCATTGGGTAAGAGAATTCAAGTATAAAGATTGTGTTACTAGGGATTTTGCATGTTAGAGTCGCACGCCATGCTTCAACATGATATTTGGGGTGCTCGTGTGGACCAATTGTTATGCGGAGTGGGCATCTTGGAAAATGGTGCCCGAGGAGCTAAAGAAGTATATGGTGCAAGAGTTATCTGTAAGTTCGAATTAGTGAATTAATAATTGTTTATGTTAAATAGTATATTACAGTGATTACTAACTGTATATTTTTTGCATAAGAGATTAGGATATTGATGAAACCGACCCAAAGTTGTTACAATTCATCGATAACATCTTCAAGGGGCACTTTTGGGAGTGGAAGTATGACGTTGAGCGAGATGCAGAACTACAGTGAAATACTGAAGAATAGCGGAGTAAAAGTGTTATTATTTTGTTTTTCAATAGTTATGGACAAATTATAATTTTTTTAGGTAAATGTTTTTGTGGACGGTATTTTAAATATTTGTTTAATTTGCATTTGGATTTAAATTTGCATTTAATTGTTTATTTGGTTAATATAATTTGGTTTAAGTTTTTATTTGAATAAACTTTAAAGGTGTTTATACCATACTTAGGGCCTCCATATTTAGATCTCGTATAAATACTCGGAGGACTCAAATGTAATTATGTAATAAAGGTGGGGGCAAATATGTAATAAGTGAGGAGCCCTTATTCTATAAAAGGACCCATCATTCTCCTCATTAGAGGAGGCCAATTCTTAGGCCATACTCTCACCCTTTCAGAGCTCTCATCCTCACAGAGAAGCTCTCTCTATCCTCTTCAACATCTCAGAGAAATACACAATCAGTGTGGACGTAGCCTAAACATTGGGATGAACCACGATACCTTTTGTGTTATTTACTTTCTTGCAGATTCACGATCGGATTTACGTTGTTCCAAGACCCCTCCGGTTTTGTGCATCAACATTTGGCGCCGTTTGTGGGAAACGACAAGAAAAGCTATGTCGGTTCTCTTTCAATTTTTTCACCTCCACCGTGAATTTGCACAACCCAAGAACCCAAAACCTCACCTTTTGGCTTTTCTAGAAAACCTTCACTCAATTCTCTCTCTGTGTGTGGTACTTCCAGCTCCGGAGACATCATCATCGCCAACTGAGTCACGTTGTAGGAGCTTAAACAATCCAGTAGTAATGGGGATCATCGAAAGGATCAAGGAAATTAAGGTTGAAATGGCTCGGACTCAGAAAAATAAAGCCACAGAGTATCATCTTGGCCAGCTCAAGGCAAAGATTGCCAAGCTCAGGACTCAACTTTTGGGAGCTTCCAAAAGGGTCTAGCGGAGATGGAGATGGTTTCAATGGATGAGAGGCCCAAGATGGAGCTGATATCGATTCCGGCGACCCCACGTGGGGTGTCGACGCTGGAGATACATACCCCATCTGATCAGAGGTCCCCTCGTCTGCTGTCCAATGAGGCGAAGCCGTTCACGGCCTGGACTCCAACGTCATTCATCTCGTCGAGGTTCCTCAGCGCCATCGGGACGCCCATGAAGCTGGTGCTGGTCAACATGAAATGATACTTGGAGGAGGTGGGCCACCTCACCAAACTCAACATGTGGGACGCGTGGCTTCCCATCACCGAATCCCGCAATGGCAACGCTCGCTGCGTTGCGTTTCATAACCTCAATGCCGGTGTTGACTTCCAGGCCCTGGTGCTTCTCGTCGCCATCTTTTTTCTCGGTGGAAACCCAAGAACCAAACATTTTCTTAGCCCTCTGCCTCCAGATCAGGACCCCACCATCAAAATTCTGTTCGGAATCTTGGTTCGCAACGCAAAGAAAATTCTGAGGCTGTCTCTGGTGGAGTGTCTCTGGCCTGATCGATAGTCTGGATGGTGAAACCCTCATCGTCGACAATTGATTTCACCAGCCTCTGCAGCTCATTCTTCAACTCTGCCGCCTTGGCTACCGCTGTCGGATCACAGTCGAAAACCGTTCGTATTCACCTCCTCCACACTTACAGTCTTGCATGAGTTTTGCGATCTGAGAGAGTTGCTCGCATTTCATCTCTGAAGTCTCCTGCAATCTGAAGTCCGAAGTCTCCACTGATTTTGTTGGCAAAAACAGAAAGGGAAAAGAGACACTCCACATGATTTCCTTGTCTGCCATCTGCAAAAGGAAAAAGAAAAAGAAAAAGGGGCCTCAGGAGCATAGGAGAAACAAAAGCAGAAAAGAGAAAGTAAAAGCAAAAGAAAGCAGAAAAGGAAAAGCCGAAAAGAAGATGCTCCACTATTCTACTATTCCATTATCCCACATGATAACATGATTAAAGATAAGAAGATGCCCACCAAGGTTCCCCGTCTCCACTTTCTGTTGGACCAGAAGATGCCCATCAACATGCTGAAAACATGTAATTTATTTTTCTTATTTTTCGGAGACATATGTATAAACCCCATCAGAGGGTAATGAAAAAAAAAAAAAGGGCAAGCCCAAAATAATGGGCTGCAATACTATGTAGAGGGCGAAGACCCATATGCCCAAAAGAGTCAGGCCCTCTGTTATCACCAACCAGGTGATCAAAAGTACGTCCAGTACTACAAAAATTATTCGGCAACCTGCCGCTATTATCACCAACCAGGTGATCAAAAGTACGCCTAGTACTCCAAAATTATTCGGCACTCTGTCACTATTATCACCAACCAAGTGATCAAAAGTACATCTAGTACTACAAAAATTATTCAGTACCCTGCCGCTATTATCACCAACCAAGTGATCAAAAGTACGCCAAGTACTCCAAAATTATTTGGCAGCCTGCCGCTATTACCACCAACCAGGTGATTAAAAGTACGTCCAGTACTCCAAAATTATACATGAGCATTACTCATGTCAATCATACATAAACATTCATGAACATCATTCATGTCAACATTCATGAGCATCACTCATGTCAACGTTCATGAGCATCACTCATATAAATGTTCATGAGCATCACTCATGTCAATCAGCTTCAAAAGATTCATTTACAAAGCTCCAGCTTCAAAATCTTCATTTACAAATCTCCAGCTTCAAAAGCTTCACTTGCAAAGCTTCACCTACAAAGCTTCAGTGTAGGGTACATAAATACTGCCTACGAACAACCGCCACTTCGGCCCATACATGGATTCAATTTGAAGTCTCCAGCCAACAGACTCTATTGACCGAAGACTTGGGGGACTACATTATGTACCATATATTGGGCCTCATGAAAAATACTTGGGGGACTTAGCCCATTATTTATGTATTGAGGAGTGAGCCCTTATTCTATAAAAGGGACTCCCTCACTATCATTAGAGAGCACCCATTATTTATGTACTGAGGAGCGAGCTCTTATTTTATAAAAGGGACTCCCTCACCATCATTAGAGAGCATCGCCGCCTACTGAGCAACCGTCTCGCCGCGAGCATCACTCATAACCCATTATTCATGTACTGAGGAGCGAGCCTTTATATTATAAAAGGGACTCCCTCACCATCATTAGAGAGCATCGCCGCCTACTGAGCAACCACCTCATCGCGAGCATCAACTCTAGCCCATCATTCATGTATTGAGGAGCGAGCCCTTATTCTATAAAAGAGACTCCCTCATCTTCAACGCCACAAGCCGAGCCAACCAAGGCAACATAAGCCACAACAAGAGTAGTTTCGCAACATGTGCTACTTCGAGTTGAGCATCATTTCAAATTGGGCACCGCCTCATATCGAGTATCAGTTCTAGACGACATCTAGTTACTTCGGCCCACACACGGACTAAATTTCAAGTCTCTAGCCAAAAGACTCTCTTGACTGAAGACTTGGGGGACTACTGTTTATACCATACTTAGGGTCTCCGTATTTAGATCTCGTATAAATACTCGGAGGACTCAAATGTAATTATGTAATAAAGGTAGGGGCAAATATGTAATAAGTGGGGAGCCCTTATTCTATAAAAGGACACATCACTCTCCTCATTAGGGGAGGCCAATTCTTAGGCTATACCTTCACCCTCTCAGAGCTCTCATCCTCACAGAGAAGCTCTCTTTATCCTCTTCAACATCTCAGAGAAATACACAATCAGTGTGGACGTAACCCAAACATTGGGGTGGACCACGACATCTCTTTTGTTATTTACTTTCTTGCAGATTCACGGTCGGATTTACGTTGTTTCAAGACCCCTCCGGTTTTGTGCATAAACAAAAGGAATACGAATTAAAATTTAATAATAATTAAAAACTTGTGCGACGATTCGTCGTCACAAAAAGTTTATAGGGACGAAATTTGTGCGAGGAATGTGGTAATCGTTGCGCAAGATTTCGAAGAGAAAAACTTTGTGCGACGAATCCTTCGCCGCGCAAAGATCATCATGTTTATAAATAGATTGCTCAGCTACAAAGGCAGAAACTGTAGAAATTTACAATAGCAGCCTCTGCACCCTTCTCTCCCATCGCCTTCCTTCAATCCAGCGTCCCTCCCTCCTTTTCTCTTAATTTCATATTTCATCGTCTAATACTTCCTCCATCTCAATCTCCATATTCTCTTCGTATATCGATCGATTCCGGTGTATTAGGTAGATGATTTGATTTTGTATTTAAAAGTATCATTGTCAATTCATATTAACACCATTAATTTTGTTGTCTATATGGCTGTTGTATACGAGTAGGGATCGGTGGGGAAAGATTTTGGAGGTATTATTTTTATTTTTTCTAATAACATAAATAAATAAATAAAATTATATGTATATTACGTTGTCATTTTTAATTTATTTGTATGGAGATTGGGCCGGCATCAGTTTTATTACAAAAAGAAGGAAACTTGACTGCTGAGAAGGGGGATACAATTGTCCCACACCAGGTACAGATAGTCCTTTACATAAAGAAACTGCGCAACGAGGAATGTCCATTCGGGACCTCCGTTCAAATTTTTTCCATGAAATTGAATGGATTTTGAAGCATTTTCCTTCTGTTTTTTTTTTTCCACCCAGTTTGGGTCAATTGGAATGCAGATTGAGGATCTTTTGGTGTTGGGAAGTATTTCACGCTTTGATGGCTCTGTCTCACTGTCTGACTGTCTGAATTTTCATATTCCAGGTTTGCCTACTAACTGTTTGATAAAATGACTTTGTTACTGTGGCCCTTAAAAGATTGTTAAGCTTAAGCATATAGTTTTCTATGATCTCTGGACGATCCCTCTCTCTCTCTCTCTCTCTCTCTCTCTCTCTATGTATATATATATATATATATATATATATATGTTGTGTTTATATGTTTGCGGGCGTGCGCACATTGTATTTGTATACCAGTTTCACTTGGTTGAAGCTCTTGAAAGACTCCATTTGGGTTTTTGCTTGTTTTAGTTCAATAACAAATCCAAGATATGTTTCTTTTAGTTTATATAACGTGGGTGTTAAAGTTTTGAACTTTCATTTTGGTTGTTCGAGGCATTTGTAAATCACAGTCGTAGTCATTTACGGTAGAAAATTTCTCCAAAGAAGATAATGTATGCATTGCGATTGCAGGTAATGTATGTCGTATACGAATCTCATTGACTTTCTAGTTCCAGATTTGCAAGTACATGAAACATTTACTTTAGAATCTCCCAGAAAACACTTTCATATATATATATATATATACACATATATATATATATATATATATATATATATATATATTAACCAGACATTACTTATTTTTCCAAAATACATGATCATTTCTGTAATTCTTGATACTACAGTTATATAAACTCACCAATAACTTTGGCAGGATTTATTAGAAATGGTTTCGATAGATTGTCCACATTCCGTACCTAACACTTCCCCTCATATCCATTCATGAAATGATCACAGACCAGATCATTTCATTCTTTTACGATACTGTCACGGATAGCCTGAAACTTGGCAATAAGTTTGTCTTTAGACGGCCAATTATCTTTGATGATAGGAACATCTGCAAAAGTCGCCGCCCATGCTGATAACAATGGAAACTCTTCTTTGGTTACCACTTTCATTCCTGCTATGTCTTCAAACAAACTCTCATAGTATGCAAGCCATCCAAGTGCAATATCCACAATTCCAATTTTCTCTCCGCCAAAGAATTTCTTTCCCTTTAGCTCTTCTTCCAAGTACTTCAAGTTCTCCTTGGCTTTTACAATACCTTCCTCTTGCTCTTTCCCTTCCTTGGTAAAGGATTCCCAAATAGATGGCAAAACCTTCATAAAAAATCACAAACCAAACCGAATAATCAAATATCGAAACTAAATTATGATATGAACTACAATTTTCTTTTAATTTGCTTTAGGCATGAGCAAGTAGATTAAGGTCATATACATAATACACCACTGAACGAAAAAATGCAGCCAAATATCTGCAATTTACTGCGGAAATTTGCAAACTGATCCGACAGCGCATTTTCTTGCTATTTCAGGTAAATAATGATGGTTCAGTTCAGCTATCTGATGCACTTTCACTCGATGCGTATACTTATCGTGCAAGAAACTATCTGATTATGAAAGGCTAGTTCAGATTACCTTCTCATCGCCATATCTGGCCCAAAAGCGTGCAGTGGCTCGCTCAAGAGGATCTTCCGGCAGTAAGGGATTCTCCTTCCATGTTTCGTCGACATATTCAAGAATTATGAGTGACTCAACAACTGCATTTCCATTGTGCAGGAGCACTGGAATTTTCTTATGAATAGGGTTAGACTGAAGAAGTAAAGGGCTTTTGTTCGAAAGATCTTCGTAGATTGTTTCGTAAGGGATGCCTTTAAGTTGCAGCGCCCAAACGATTCTCAGGCCGAAAGGGCTTGACCATGTCCTAAGGAGTTTCACTTCTGCCATTTTTGCTGGTAGTTTGAGCTATCTTCTGCTAGGCAGGCCTTTTATGCTTAATTTTCAGTGTGGAATTTCGCATTGTCTCCCTAGACTTCATTGTATTTATTATTGAAGCCTTCTATATTGTAAAATTTGAATTGCTCCCCCGTATCTGATATATATCACTCGTTGCCACGTAATTTTACATGATTTTTCATTTTTAATTAATTTTCTCTAAAAAATCAAACTCTAGTTAGTTTAATGCTTAGAAATGATAAAACATGCTATTTCTGTGTCTGACACAATCTTTATTTTAGTTATTGAATTAAATAAATCAAACGGAAATAAAAAACAGACAAACAATACGGTTGCATAGGAGGGGGGAGAGAAAAAGTGTGGAAGTTGGAAAAATATGAGGGATGAGTGGAGAGAAAAGGTAAAGGGTTTTTGTGTGAAATTAAATGATGATTGTGCTCTGTGATGTAACCAAAGGAGAGAAGGTTCTGTTGGTTTTCTTCCAAGTTTGGACGTTTGTTTTGGTCCAAGGTGCCGGCTGTGTAGAGATGCCCCTTGTTATGAGATTCTGTCGTGAAGTAGGCTTAAATGATTCTTTCTACTAAACTATTTTGTTGTGAGGCATCCGTGTGTCAAAAATGTATATTATTATTAAGGAGAGGGGAAGGGTTCGGAATTATTCCAATAATTTAGAAAATGAGAATTTTCGAACCTTAGACGCATGTGTGTAAACTAACATTTTATCCACTAGGACATTAGACCACGTGCAAAAATTGGCCACAATTACACTTACAAAAACGATTTTCTAACACTCTTATTATCTTCTCACATACTCTTTTTTATTTCTAGTTATTGAATTAAATAAATAAAACAAAATTAACAAGCATTGTTAAACAAAAATACACGAGAGACTGAAAAATATGTGTGTGTCAAAATACACGAGAGACTGAAAAATATGTGTGTCAGTTTAGAGTTTCTCACACTTACTAACCCCTCTAGTTTTTGGGCCATTGAGTGTGCCTTTTTAAAGGCCTACTAAACGAGCCGAAATACAGTCAAGTCTGTGAGCCCAAACCAACTTCATGGCCCAAATGTATGCGAACATCACACAGCTTCTCTTTACCGATCTGTGGTGAAGAAGATTAAAAAGAAACCCAAAAGAGATTCAGAGATGGCAGCCGTTCCTCCGTCGTCGTTTAAGTAAAATAAGTGCTCTCCCACGGCGGCGGGCCCCAAACTCAGTACTCTTTTATTGCTACCATTGTGTAGAACAAATTGAATATTTTTTTTTGAACAAATGATATTTTCTAAGGGGATGAGTTGAGCCTTACAATGTGTTAGCAATAATGTGGTTTAAATTCGCTTTTGGTGAGAATCGAACCTAAGATCTTTTACTAACAAGTGAAAAGAAATACCACTAGACCGTAGTACTAAGTTGCGCAGAACAAATTGATTTGGCTAAGGCAAGACTGGGAAAGCTGAATTCTTCTTGATATGACTTGGCTTGCGGAAAATAGGAAGTGCTATGAGGACCAACTGCCAAAGAGCTTGCAGAGTTTGGGGTTAAGGAAACGGCTTTGCTTCAGTCCATCCCTTTAAGGGGGCATTCCTCCCGGTACCGGATAAATCATGTATGCAAACTGTTTTCTTTGTGTGCTTTTCTTTTGTGCATCGGACTATGAATAGCGAGTCAAGAGAAATGACTCCGTCATAGTCCGACCTCACAAGGAAGGAGCCAAGTAGTGTCGATAAGAAAGTTTAGTATCAGTGACAAGGATGAACTAAAATGGTTAACTTCCAAAAGACAACTATTTGTATATGATTAAGTTCAAACACCATTCTCCTTGTACATTATTATGCAGCCACAATCATCCAACTGACGAGACTAATTTTTTTAACCCAAAACATATAATATAATCAAGAAGTCTTTTAAATAGACCATAGAAGGATTGAACTGAGAACAAACTTGCAGCTAATCGAACTCCTAGCCCGCTTATTGAAACAACAGAACAATAAGAGTCAGAAGGGATGCATAAACTGAATTGGGCAATCTCTGCACAACCTTTCCGACACCTGGTAAACCCTCGGTAGCCCTCTTTGTCGCTATTGCAACCACCGGTGCTGCAACCAGTTTGAGGATCAGTCCTTGACTGACAACAACCAATGTGTCCGCTGTCAACTGCTTGATGAACTTTGCAAACTCTTCGCTGTCAATCTCTTCATCAAGATTGAGATCGTTTTCCTGCAAATATTTGGGGTAAACATTATTAAACGAATTAAACGAGTTTCACTAAAGGCAAGTCGTTGATTCAACATTTTCTATAAGAGAATAATGAGCTCATATCCATATTCGAACGGTTTCTATAGGTTTTCTAAACGGGAAACCTTAGACAAATTCTCAACATGGATTCTTACCTACCAAACAGCAGCAACGATAGTATTTCTTTATATAACAAACAGCAGAAACTTGAACATACAAAGTCGACAAAGAGACATAAATGAAACTAAACTCACAAAATTTTATAACATCTGACCTGACATACAAGTCACAAACAACATATAGACATTCTCATCATCTCATGCCTTCAGGAAGATATCTCGATGGAAATTATACATAAAGTAGACTATAGACATTAGAATCAGATTATGAAAGAGGTGCCAGGTGAAGACTTTCTTCAGTGCCTCAGCCAATATCCCTACTGAAAAAAGATGATGAATTTTGCAGTCAAATGGACTTATCTTCAAAATTTCTAACATTTAAGTGCTTAAACAGAACAAAAGGGAACTTAGGTAATCAGAAGATGAAGAAACTTAAAAGTCTACATGGAGCAGAATAAATTGGTCATATATATAGAACCTCAAACAAACTGGTCACATCTTGCTAAACCAGAGTATATAAAGGACAAAGAGTAGCTTCTCTCTAACCACAGCAACTTAAACGTGTTTCAGTTCATTTTCCATGCATATGAGAAAGAGTATGGTTTATTGATCTAACTGTCTGAAGTTTAAAATTGGAATTTACACACCAAAGATATGAATCAAAGCTACATCACTTGTGAGAGTAATTACTAACTGTACTCTATTAGATTGAAAAACTTAAAGGAATACGTGTGGATAACAAGCTTTCCCTAACCCATAACGAAAATTGGATCACAAATCTTATTTGCCTAATACTTGGTACGACAACTTGACTTTTGCAGCACAACACCTTAACTCAACAAAGATAACAGATGTCATATGAAATCCCCTGCTAAACTGGATATATACCGTTGAAATTTCAAAAGATATTATCTTACTTGAAAATGGTTTGAGTCTAACAAATTTCATTTCAACCGTTTGATTGAATCCAACAAAAAAAATCCTTGTATTAGAAAACTGATCGTGATTCTAATTCATCCTCATGTCTTATTAAACAACTAGAGTACCTTCATCATAGCTCTGACAGTATCTTTGGAGGGTGGATCAAAATGCGGGCCGGGTAAATGCTTATTGATATCACTAGAACAGGAAGATTAAAAAACAATCAGCTAAAATTAGCAGCATGATTTGTCAATCAGTTAAAAAAAAAGGGAATACGTTTAGCACGAAAGCTCCTCACTTGTACACAAGTAGTACACCGATGTACAGATCCTCAAAATTCAAGTTAGCCCTTTCTCTCTCATTTTTAAAATGATCAAACACCTTATCTGTAATCCTGCTTATTTGCTTTCGCCTCCATTGCTTACCTGCAATCTGGAAAATTATCAGACACCTTATAAACATACATGTAATTAACGGTTATGTTTCATCTCTAGTAATTTAACATAACATGTCAGATTGTCTGTGCCGGTGAATATTTACAATTTACTTATAGATGTTACGAGTGTGGAAAGATGGAGAAGCCATTGAAACTAAAACCCAACAGAAAACAGGTAAAATTCAGAACTGGAAAGAAAACAACATTAATGATGTCGAAGGAATAGAGAGGACCTTGTAACCTATCGAGGACCTGTCCAATGGCTCAGTAGTGGGCTCAGTACAGAGGTTTTTGCGAGTTGGATTTGATGATAAATTAAGAATAAGAGAGTAAGAGAAGGGAGGATTGAAGCATTCTATTGACTTTGTCAGGCAGCGTAATCATTAAGACACGATCCACTGTATTTGAGACACTTAGACTTAATTAGTAAATTTGTGAACACATTTTTTACTCAAGGGATTATGTGAAAGAGAATTAAAACTTGAAGGGTAGTTAATGTAATGTTTCAAACATGAGGGGTTTTGTGAAAACTCAATAAACCTCAGGGGGTGTTAGTGTAATTAAAAGTCTCTTGACTATTTCCACGTCAGACTTTTATAATAAATCTTTTACATGTCAGCAATTTTTATTTGGTATTTAAAAATAGTATCTATTTATTCTCTACTTTATAGCCTTGGCTGTTGGAAAATTATTTTTTGATAAGCTTTTTTAAATTTTGAATGACTTATTCCTAGCTAATCAACAAGATTATCTCATTCAATTTTATTTTTTTTAAAACAAGATTATTCATTCCCCATTTTATTGTTCATGGAACATGTATCAAGTTTGTACCCACAACTCGCTATCTCATGACTTATGAACCCATATATATTAATAGTGGTACATTGTTTTTTAAGTTGCTGCTATTTATAAAATCATACTTATATGGAGACATTCTTTTTTTGTTGAATTGAGAATGTATCCATATTTGGGAGCAGCCTCTCCATAAATGGGGTAAGGCTAGCCGACATTCACCTCTCCCATACCCTGCGTAAAGCGGGAGCCTTGTGCACTGGGTACGACCTTTTGAGAATGTATCCATATAAAGTTTATTCGAAGAACTTTACCATGTTACTAAGCATAATATCTATTACTATTATTATTATTATTAACATAATTAATTTTACTATTATTATTATTGTTTTGTGTGTGTCACACAATAAATAAATACTTATACTTTTTAACATATATACTCGCATACACATTGGCAAGTTGAAAATGTTCCTTCACAAACATTAAAATGTTAAGGGCACTAAACTCAAAATCCAGTATTTAAAAAAAAAGATCCATAAACTGTAGCATGAAAGGACGCACCTTTAATCTTGTAGCCACCTGCCATCAAAATTAACTTGTCAAACACGCAACAAAGGTGAAATGGTCTAATAAAAGTTCATTTTATCAAACAAAGAGCAAGCAACAATCCATGTTCTCACCAATGAAAATAGTGCTGAAAGCCCAATGCCAGCACTAATCCAAAACAGAAGCAACCCTCTAGAACATAATAGGTAAATAAAGGTGTAAAAATGAAATGGTTATGAACGTTTGGGCACAAGGACTACAGAAAAAGCAACCCCAAAAACTCATAAAATATACGATTAGTTATAAAATAAATAAAAACAGAGAAAGTGAAGAAAACAAATCATTACACATTTGAGGGTGGGGGAGGTATTGAGATTTGTGGGTTGACACCAATTGAAGAAGTTTTCTGGGTACTCGAAGAAGAAATGCTCGCAAAACGTTCCACTTCTAACTTTGCTACAATAGTATCAGAAAAATAACCCATGTCAGTACAACTATATTGAAAACTTGCACAACCAGGAGATCATATGAAATACGGCATCATAGAATCAGCAAGATACATTAGCACTTCTGATGAAAAATAAAACAATATCCTTTAAACCAAGCTTTTTTTTTTTTCCCACCTTCGAGCTATCATTATAGTCTTATTGATACACAATGTAGGGTAAGTAAGTGTTCAATAAGGGCTACAAGCACTTTTGAGCTTTGACTATGTTTGAAACGGTCAACAGTGCTTCTTCACAAAACGCTTTCAAGTGCATTTTCAGGAATCAACTGGATATTTATTAAATTCTGACATGCTTCTAATAGAAGCACTTATGGTCAGAAGTGTTTTGTTTTTTTTACAAAAGCACTCCTAACCCCAACTCTTGTCTCCAAAAGTGCTCAATTCCTAAAGTTGTAATCCTATTATAACTACTTTGAGTTCACACAGAAAGCCAACTAGCATCTCTTCTCCATATGCATGCGTCTGTGTGCAGCATTACAGACTGGATGTGAAGGTTATCTTTTCCCAAATACAGCCACTTTCTACAAACCAACTCATCCGCTCTCTCCAACCCGCTACAAGTAGAAATTTCAGTGGAACTATGCATGGTATTGAAGACCTTTCAAAACCCAATTCATTAAAGCTTGAAAAGTATAGAAAATTCAAACTTTAAAAAGTCATAGTCATGCACTTAAAACCCAAAAAAACCAATTCAAGCAACATATTTCATGTCCTCGAAACCGTATGCATCAATTCAGACTCACAATTCAACATAGAACCCTAACAAGTAAATAAATTTCTATATTTCGAAAAATAAAAATGCGAACCCCTGTGTTTTCTGCACTAAATTTTGCAAGAAGAATCTAAAAATTTTCTTACTTGAGACAGTCAACAGTAAATTGAATCAGTAAAATTAGAACCTGGGAGGCGAGTGGCAGGGAAGCGACCATTGGCTCTGGAATTTTGGTGATTTTTGGAGTTTCTGAGATTGGCGGAGCATCGAAAGAGAGGGAAACGATTGAATGAGGGAGCGATAATTCTCGGTTGATTTGAAGGGAGGAGCGGCAGCGAGCGAGGAAGAGACAGAGAAGTCATGATTTGCTACGAGAAAATCAAGCAAAAAGGGCACTGCAATTGTGTTGTTGAATGTCTGCAAAACCTTTTTTATTTTTATTATTATTATTTTTTTTGTAAAAGTGCTTTTAATAATAAAAAAAAACGAGTGTATGAGTATTTGGTAAATTTTTATATAAATTACTTTAAATATGTTAAATGATTAAAAATGAGTATTTAATATGATATAATAAGACTTTTTTTATTAACAACCCACATACGTTGAATACACCCCACATTCAAATTTGATATTAAATGACTTATATACCCTACTATATGCAATGCCAATTTCAACCCTATTAGGTTAGAATAAAAAATAACAAATTTCTAAATAAACCTCCAATCGCTTTTAACGTATTATTTATCTACTTTTTTGTCTTCCCAACAAATGCAAGCAAAATGATAAAACTGTCGGCTTAGAACTTGAATGGAGTGCGAAGAAATTAACGATATTTCTTTATATATGTCGTCTCACGACATAACCCCAATTAAAAGAAATGATAATAGTAATAAAATGGCTAAACACAATCTCTGTTCTGCAATTCAACACCAATAAATAAATATGTTTTCTTTTCATACATCTGAAAATGCAATGAAACTACATCAACATTCAGCTACGTTTTTGCCAATCTGGGCAAAGTCCTAGTACCATTCACATTACAAGAGACCTTCTGATTGTTCTCATTTCCCTTGCTGCTTTTATCTTCGAATTTTTGTCATTAAACCTCAACGTATTACCTCGTTTGCCACCTTTAACAGAGTCTCAGCAGCCTCATCTTCCTCCAATCTTGATTGTGACTGAGTATTATAAGATGTGAAGAATGTGGGGTATATAGAAAATGTGGGGTGTATATAGAAAATGTAAGATGTATGTTGAGAATGGGGTGGGAGGGTAATATGGGGAAGTAAATGGGGTGTATTAAGATAAATTTTAATTGAAAAAGTAAATAGAGGTGTATTAAGTATGTGAGGTTCATTCAACAATACGTGGAGTGTAAATATAATAATCCTATAATAATTATGAAAGATAATAATGTAAGGGCAAAATTGTAATTTTGTAAAATATGTGGGGGTATACTTGCTATTTTAAAATTTCATTAAATAAGCATTGATTATTATGCTTTGAAAAATAAAAAAAAAACTTTTTTAGAAGTATAGTAGACTCTGTTTCTGCTTTTCTATGTTTTTCTACTGTAATTAACAACGATTTTTTTAATAAAAACATTTTTTTTTTGTTTTACCAAATACATTTAATGTTTTAGATTATTTTAATAAGCTTTATTTTATTTTATTTTTAAACCCCACATTCTCAAACCAACCCTAAGCCCGCTCCCCTCCCTCTCCGTCATAGTCCGACATTACGAGGAAGGAGTCAAGGAGTGTTGTTAAGAAAATTTAATGGCAGTGACAATGATGAACTAAAATAGTTAACTTCCAAAAGACAACTATTTGTATATGATAAGTTCAAGCACCATTCTCCTTGTACGTTATTATGCAGCCACAATTACCCAACTGACGAGGCTAACTTTATAACCCAAAAGCGTAACCTTTTAAAAACTGGTTTGGAATTGCGGTGCTTTAGAAAAAAATAGCTCAAATATGGTACATCAAATGTGTTTGATAAAATAAAAAAGAAAGTGTTTTTTTTTATTTTTAAAATTGATGTTATTGTTAGTAGAAAAACATAGAAAAACAGAAATATGTTTTACCAGGCTTCTTAAAAAAGTGCATGTGTGAACAATCCTCATTTAATGAAATTTTCAAATAACAAATATATCATCGCATATATTACAAAAATACAACCTTTGCCCATACATCTATCATATTACATTTAACACCATATTATTTTTAATCATTTACCAAACACTAAACAATTTTATTTTAGATCTGTTTATTCTCACATTATAGTATGAAACAATTTTTTTTTTTTTAAAAAGCACAGCAATATCAAAGTAGACCTAAATAGACCATAGAAAGATTGAACTGAGAACAAACTTGCGGCTAACCGAACTCCTGGTGCGCTTGTTGAAGCAGCACAACAGTAAGAGTCACAAGGGATGCATAAACTGAATCGGGTAACCTTTGCACGACCTTTCCGATCCCCGGTACACCCTCGGTAACCCTCTTTGTCGCCATTGCAACCGCCGGTGCTGCAACCAGTGTGAGGATCAGTTGATCGAGAACAACCAAATTGTCCGCTGTCAAGTGCTCGATGAACTTTGCAAACTCTTCGCGGTCAATTTCTCCATCAAGATTTAAATCGCTTTCCTGCAAGTATTAAGGGTAAACATTATTAAACGAATCAAACGAGTTTCACTGAAGGCAAACGATTGATTCAACATTTTTCTAGAAGCGAATAACGTGCTCATATCCTAACGGTTCCTATAGGTTTTCTGAACGGGACACCACAGACGGATTCTCAACAAGGATTCTTACCTACCAAACAGCTGCAACAACAGTATTTCTGTGTATAACAAACAGCAGAAACTTGAACATAGGTAAGCAGAAGACGAAGAAACTTAAAAGTCTACACGGAGCAGAATAAATTGGTCATGTATATAGAACCTCAAACAAACTGGTCACATCTTGCTAAACCAGACTACATAAAGGACAAAGACTTGCTTCTCTCTGACCACAGCATCTTAAACGTGTTTCAGTTCATTTTCCATGCATAAGAGAGAGAGAGAGAGAGAGAGAGAGTAGGTTTATTGATCTGTCTGCAATTTAAAATTGAAATTTACACACCAAAAATACGAATCAAAACTACGTTGCTTGTGAGAGTAATTACTAACTGTATTAGATTGATGTGCGGATAACGAGCTTTCCCTAATGCAAAACAAAAATTGGATCACAAATCTTATTTGCCTAATACGTGGTACGACAACTTGACTTTTGCAGCACAACACCTTAACTCAACAAGCATAACAGATGTTATATGAAATCCCCTGCTAAATTGCATATATACTGTTGAAATTTCGTAAGACATTATCTTGCTTGTAAATGGTTTGAGTCTAACAAATTTCATTTCAACCGTTTGATTGTATCCAACAAAAAAAATTCCAGTATTTGAAAACTGATCCTGATTCTAGTTCATCCTCATGTCTTTTTAAACAACTAGAGTACCTTCATCATTTCTCTGACATGATCTTTCGAGGGTGGATCAAAATGCTGGCCGGATAAATGCTTATTGATATCACTAGAACAGGAAGATTAAACAACAATCAGCTAAAATTAGCAGCATGATTTGTCAATCAGTTAAAAAAATGGGAATACGTTTAGCATGAAAAGCTCCTCACTTGTACACAAGTAGTACACCGATGTACAGATCGTTGATTTTCAAGTTATCCGTTCTTCTATCATTTCTAAATTGTTCAAACAACTTCTCTGAAATCCTTTTTATTTGCTTTCGCCTCCATTGCTTACCTGCAATCCAGAAACTTACCAGATACCTTATAAACATATATGTAATTACCGGTTGCTTCATGTCCGGTAATGTAACATAACATGTCAGACTAAAGCCCAACAGAAAACAGGGAAAATTCAGAACTGGGAAGAAAACAACATTAACGATGTCGAAGGATTATAGAGATACCTTGTAACCTGTCGAGGACTTGTCCCATGGCGCAGTAGTGAGCTACAGAGCTTTTTGCGAGTTGGGTTGGATGATAAGTTAAGAATAAGAGTAAGAGGAGGGACGATCTTTGGTATTATAGCATTCTATTCACATTGTCAGGCAGCGTAATCATTAAGACACGATCCACTGTATTTAACGAGAAATTTTAAGTGTTCTGGCACTGGAGCTAGGGGATATTCTTTATCTGTGGAAATTTAACACTTAAATTTAGTTGATTGAAAATAAAGTAAAAAAGCTACCTGTAAGTGATAGGTTCGATTCTCGTCTAAGGCAAATTTGAACCACATTATTGCTTGCCCATTGTGAGGCTTTGCTAACTCCCCATTCCCTAGTGTAGGTAAATATCTTTTGTACAAAAGAAAAAGGTAAAGAATATCTAAGTGTTTGATTTCCACTGGTGGCAACACCACTGGCACTACTAAAAATTTATCTTATTAAGACAATTAGACTTATTAACGCTCAAAATTATAAGGTTAACAAACTTAATTAAATGACTTTAGATGGGCTGAAATTAAATGGACTCAAAGATGTAAGTTTCTAAGGTTAAAAAACTTGATTAAATGACTTTAGATGGGTTTATGAGATGGGTTGCAATTAAATGGACTCAAAGATGTAATTGGTTCACTCCTCAAAATTGGGCTACATTCACAGTATTGATCTCAGTATGGTGATTTGCGGCTAAATAGCTCTCTACTAATACATTCACTCTATACTCTTTGATTCATCCGACCCCAACCTTCCCATTTATATAGGCCTCTACCCTTTTGTATAGGCCTCGCCCTCTTAAGGCCTCCCAAACCGACATTTAATGTGCCCACCACTTATAATAGTTTATTGACAACTTTTCTCCTATTCGGCTAGGCCTTCGTCAGCGAAGTGATGTTCTAGCATTCAAATAACACGTCTTTTAAGTCCTAGGTAGCTCGAGCATCCCGCTCGAAACTTGGTCTGTCTCACCTTACAGGGCACTGCCCTAACTGCCCTTATGTCCCATCCCAGGTTTTTGTTGTTGTCTGCAAGTTGTGAATGGTCTGAGTTGCACTTGAGTAGTTCTGCTTTTGGAGACTTGTCACTCCCCGATCCCAACATACGTCGAGAATTGACACGTGACAAGGAAAATAACGTTCGTTGAATACGGTATAAATTATAAAATAAAATACTAGCACTCCAAATCTCTAATAACTGTACCGCTACCCCACCTACGAACCTCTCGAAGCTACTTAGACTTGTTACCTGTAAGATCAGTGCGTACACCATCGAAATGGTGCACCGGGCAAACAACAATCTGGATATGCTACGAAGCTTGTGTGAGCGATAAATAATACAAGTATATGATACTAATAATAAAACCAACCATCATTCACAATTATAAACTTTGAATACAAATCATTTATAAGAAATCGCTACCAAACCTTGCAACCTCCGAAGGGGTCACACATACATCCAACGAGTTTTCTAAATCAAAACGCAAGGTTCTCAAAGCCACATTCATAGATATTTTCAAAACTAGATTTAGAGAGACGTCATTCGGTCGAAGCCTACGCAATAACCAAATAGGAAGGAGCCCCCCAAAACGGATCAACCAAGCAAAGCCACCCCTAAGAAAGTAAACAAATAGGTAGTGACTCCCCAATGCGGATTAACCAAGTAGAGTCACTCCTATAACTATTGGAAGGTGATTACCCAATGCAGATTAACCAAGCATGATCACCTTTAAATGTGTATGGCCATACCTAGGCTATAAGGATCGCCAAACGCAGATTAACCAAGTGCGATCCATAAATAGTATGGTCCCCTAACGCGGATAAACCAAGCAGGACCATCCTGGATCATTGCTACGTGGTGCAGACTTATTGTCACCTAACCCCATGACACTAGGGTAATGGTCCTTCACAATCCATCATTTTTATCATCCATCACATATATATCCCAAAACACAATCCATCATTTTTATCAACCATCACATATATATCCCAAAACACAATCCACGCATATATATCCCAAAACACAATCCATCACAGTTCAAATATCCAAGTCACCTAATGTTTCAAAAGTAGATTGACTGCAACTTTTATCAACCATCACATATATATCCCAAAACACAATCCATCATAGTTCAAATATCCAAGTCACCTAATGTTTCAAAAGTAGATCGACTGCAACTTACTAGTAACAATTATTTAGTGTCAGAACTATTTTAAGAATCTATAGTGTAACCACAAAGTTTATTAGCAAAAAGATTTCAAAGCAATAGCCATAACACATAGATTAGAATCACTCACCTGAGATCCACACTAACGCACTCAAACACGAGAGTCAAGGCATCACGTTCTATCACCGCCTAACAAGGTACAAACCACATTTAGATTTCCTTCGATAATTCACATACTTAAAACTCTTATATATTTCCCACAACAACATTTAATGAGGAATCGAACTGTCATTCTAAGGTAGGGTCCATGATCTTACGTCACTTATTCCGTAATATCCAATCACTAGATTTTCACTTGTAAGTCCCTAAGGTCCTTAAACATTATCTACCATAGCATACTAAAAGTGGTGTCAATTCAATGGTAAGATCATCAATCGCTAGAATAATCAAGTGGCGGAGCTTATCGATAAAATACTCAACCAACAACATTTTTATAAATCGAATGTCACACACCGGAAAATTTGACTTTCTCCAAAAATTCTTAAATTTTACAGGAATAAAGATTTCAACAAGTAGAGTAAACTTTATACATGTGGCTGAGTCCAATTTGGCCAAGAAGGCCCTCAAATTGGCTCGCACCCAACGAAACCTTAAGGTGGGTGTCATTCAATTCGGCTTCCTTGGTATTCCAACGCCCCAACCACTAGTTGGGTCTTGTTCTTGGGTCCAAGGGAAGTTGATTAAAGGTGATGGTGAATGGTGATACTTTCTGGAATGACAATTCGTTGTCGAGAACCCCTGGTTCTCCTATGGAGTTCTACATGAAATAGACCTCAAAAACCCTTGATTTTTGATAGAGAGGGAATGAGGAATGTAGTTGAGCAAGTTGCAGGTGAAGGAGGTAGGAAAATCAATTGGGAAATAGAGGTAATGGCCTGAAATTGGCCGGTTTGAATTTTTTGGCTGTGGACCTCACGTTTTCACGAATTAGGGGGGGGAAAGAAAGTGGCCTTTTCTTTCTTTCCAAATGGGTCATTTAATACCCCTTTTACAAAAATTGGACAGGTTCCCTCATTTCTATTTTTTTTCTACTAACTTAACTTAACCTTTAACCCATGCTTCCCACAATCTATAGTTCACAACTTCAAACGTCCGTAACTATACCGTTATAGTTCGGACTCGCAAACGGCTTTCACCTATGCGTTTGGGGGTTCGAGATCTATTTAAAAACACAAGTTGTAACTTCAAAATATCAACGAAAGATAAAGATTGATTATGAAATTTCCAACTCGATAACTAAACAATTACTAAACTTAAAATGAATGGAATTAAAATTAACTAATAAAGTTAACATAAGTGCGAAATACGAGTTTTAAAATACGAGATACGTAATAATTGGTGAAATTCTGGGGATGGAATTTCACAAGACTTATGCCGAAAAGTTGACAGTTTTGCCCATGTGTTCTACGCGGTCGATTAGTCTTTCTTTTGTCTTAGTCGATCAAATCAATCGGGTCGGCCCTCTTTGAACTCTCTGGGCCTTGGACTTCTTGGCCTTTGCTTGTGCTTACAAGGGTGGGCCTAAATGGGCCCGATGTTAACAATACCGTGGCAAGTGCCAAGTCCAATAAAAATAAATATACTACTTGTACCACACTTCACAAATCCCGAAACTACCGAGTACCAGTCAACTTATCCTTTAGGAACCTACTGAAGGATTCGTGTCGAGGCACCATTGCCAAAGCACAAGAGTTTATCATCAACCAGGAGGCCAATCACAATGCAAATAAAGCTCCTAGAGTCCCACATCAATCGCTGATGAAAACGTGTGACTTTCCTCAACTGTAAAAGGAGACCATTCGCATACAATTAGTCCATAATGTCATTATTGTACTTAATTCGTAATCAGAATTCACTATGCTTATACCTTTGTATCATGTGTACTCTACATTATCAATCAGAACTCTTTTACCCTTGTGAACGTAGCCTAACTTAGGGTGGTTCTCAAGTATATTTTGTGTTTACTTCCCTATCTCTATCTCTTTACATATTACCCTCATTAACGACTAGGGTAACCTTCAAGAACAATATTATTACCCTCATTAACTTCCCTATCTCATTCTTGATCTAATATTGTTCTTGGAGGATTGCATTCCTGATTGTTATCTTGAAGAGCTTTTCATATTGTTCTTTAGCTGATTTATAAGAACAACAAAATAGTAACCAGGAATGAGATCATCCAAGAACAATATGAGAAGCTCTTCAAGATGCTCCACGAAGATAAATAGACTCAGTCTTACAAGCCCATTGTCCCCGTGACTATGAATTATCACATGGATACCCACTTAGACAAACTTTTATTTGTCTTCAACATGATGTTCCTAATGAGGAATGACCTTCTCACCAAAATGTTGATCAACACGAGACTTCTCTTAACCTAATTGCTTCAATATGAAGTAGGAGAAGCGGAGAGAGACATCTTCTTGTAGAGGGAATGGAATGATCAAAAGCCATCTACTGTGAATGTTAGGAATTCTTGAGGCAGCGTCGAGAAAAATCATCCACATAGACTCAAAGATAATGCCCCAAAGGTTAGAAAGAGCATAGGAATTTGTGATCTGATCCAAACACTAGTGTTAAACTCGAAAAGAATTTGGAGAGACTTCAACAAGATTAGTCTCAAACAATGTATTAAAAGGTGAAAGTGTGGGCGAGGCGTTCAATGGATAGCCCTGCCTAGGCATGTGGCATGAGGCATAAGGCGAAGCTTCATGGGACCACATTTTTTTTAATATATATGTTTTATATATTATACATATAATTGTATAAAAATAATACTTTGTAAAACAAACATCCATTATCAATTTATCATTCAAATTCATTGTCATTCAAAAGATAATATCATCTAAATTCACAATTCAAAGGTAATATCATCCAAATTCA